TTGTCTCTGTGGGACATATTCCTCCATGGGGCATGAACAGGTCTGCAGCCTTAATGCGGCATTTTTGTCATGAGCTTAGGCTGGCTGTTTTGGATTGTGCCACCTACGCTGATCTTGCTGGGTCCTCTTCTGCCTTTTGACTAGCAAGACAGGTAGAGCTCATAATTGTTCCCTGCCTGCAGGTGTGATATGCCTGAAAAAATCTCTGGCTGGAGGCAGCCTAAGAGGTACATCAAGGATGAGCTAACTTCAGACTTGCAGGGCCAATTTTGGTTTTTACTTGGAGATCCACCACCTATAGATCCTGCTGTAGCATTCTTTCACTTAGAATTACAATTAAAGAATTACGAGTCCAGGAATTTGTTGCTGCATGCTCAAAAATCAATACCTGATCATTCCAAACTTTCACAGGTTGGCTACAAATATGAGCAATTTCCCTTCTGGGATCCAGTTCAGGGAAAACTGGTTCTGCCAGTGCACAGAGCCTGCCCCACTTATTAGCTTGGGCCTGCTCATCCCACGAGCTCTCCTTCACTTCTGTGACTTGTTTTAAAACAACTACAGTGAACTGGATATTTAAATGAATATACTCTCACACAAGACTTCCTTTTCCCCACTTTCTGCTCCAGTATAGTGTCTTCAGAAAAATGCAGAGCCAGTCTGGAAGTGAGGGCAAGTGGTTAGGAGAGTATGGATGGGCAGCCTTGCATCACCACGGAAGGGAAATCAAGTCACAGTGGCTTGCTTTTCCTCCCTGTGCATGCTGCTCACCACCACCCCAGTCTGCGTATGCTGACCACTGTCATCAAGCCTGGGCAGTGTGAGGGTGGATCCACCCTAGAATCCATGGCTTAGGGCGATCGGGTGCTTTGTGCATCAGGCTTCTGCTGAATTCAGATGGCCCAATGATCTCTGCTCAGTGATGGAAATTATGCTGATGAGACAGCTCCCAAAGAGGCACCATTGCTGAATTACTTTGCCTTGACTGGTAGAAGGGGATGCCATTGATTCAGGGGATGAGCTTGACATTGAACTGATTCTTGTTCATAGACCATATTGTTCTTTATACCACCATTTCTCACAAAAGACAGGATAGCTCATAATCTATATAAAAAGCAATACACCCCATAAACACCTCTAACATCCAGATTTTAGAACCACAAATATCTAGTAAAATAGAATAAAAGCAACCACATAAGCAATCGGGCCAGTGGCGCAATGGATAACGCGTCTGACTACGGATCAGAAGATTGTAGGTTCGACTCCTGCCTGGCTCGGGAATTTGTGTTTGATGCTGTGTCTTATTTATTTATGTTATTGCCACCCTGAGACTCTGTAAAGGGCGAGATACAAAAAATTTAAATAGATAAATAAAAAAGCAAATAGGACATTTACCTATACTGCAAAAACGTGCAAATAAGCAGGTCTTTAACTGCTGCCTAATGGGAGAGCAATAAGAGCTGCAGATGCAGTCAGGTTTCTTATCCTCGCCTCTAAAATCACAGCCACAATATGTAGCAAGCACTGTAATGGTAACTCAGGGATCTCCCCTGTATGCATAGCTTGCAATGTAAAGGCCAATGCAATCCCACTATCCCAGATGGGAGAAGAGACTCCTTCAGCTGCCCACAGCAGAAAACAGGAATTCGGTGAGAGACCAAACCCAGGTTGGCACACAGAGGCCAATGACCCAGGAAGGAGGGGATAAAACTGTGCCAAAGAAGCCCAGTCCAGCTAGTTACTGTCCTTAGAAGGCCAGTGGTGCGGCAGTAATCTCTCAAGAGCAGGTCCTCTCGTATTTCAATCCCTTTAGCCACACCACACCTCTGAGGAAAGTCCAGAAATGCAGATAACCTTATTTATCTATATTAACAAACAATTCTAGCAAGTTTCTTGCTCACAAGAAACATGGCTTTCTGTTAAGCTAATGAGGCTTGAACGACCATATGCCTGGCCAAGTCACTACAGAATCCTTTGCATTAAAACAAGACAACACTATATTGCTGTGGGAGAAGGTGATACCTTCACCACCACCCAGAAGAGGTGCCTTGAAAAGTGTTTTGATGCTCAGAAGAAATAGGAAAGTTGGGGAGTGGGACCTAAGTGCATAATGCCAGCATCCTAGGCAGTCAAAAACATGACGGGACTGCAGCCCTGTGTGTTCTGACTCCACCACACTATTGTAGAAGTGTGTGTGTGTGTGTGTGTGTGTGTGTGTGTAAAAGAGGGAGAGAGATTTGGCTAAAATTGGAGGAACTCCAGGTATTGGGGGAACTGTGAATTTATTCCCCAAACCATTCCCCCCATAATAATTTGGGTACTGGAATAAAATGCAAGAAAAGCAATCCTCAAATGCATCAACTATGAGGAAAAGCTTGGGGGTGTAGGAGTAAAAATATACACCTGTTTATAGGTGTTACGAAAAATGAAGAATTGCTAAAATTAAATAATAAATCCACATACCTTGCTTGGCCATTGGCCCATTTATTGTTATTGTTATTATCATCATTACATTTATATCCCCCTTCCTTCCTCTTGCACAGAATCCAAGGTGGCCTCCAAGGGTTGCGTACTCTCCATTTCATTTTCATAACAGCAATCCTTTGAGGTAGATTAGGCTGAGCTCCAGTAACCAGCCCAGTGAACTTCATGACTGAGAAGAGACTAGATCTCTTGAGTCCCAGTCCAGCCCCCTTAGTGGTTGTGCCACAGTGGGACCCTTGTTCAGTTCATGATCTTGGTAGAAAGCATGTTCTTAAAACAACTCACTGACATATTACCAATAGATAGTGATGGAAGACAAAATCTCAGCCGTCTGGCAAGTCCCAAGAATACAGCTTAGCCTGAGCTGTAGGTGTTCTTTATTGTGATACCAATCTGGTGATACCAATCTGGTTCTTCATTCTAATTTTAAGTGATCTATTTCTGACCAGAAAGTTGAGATGTCCAAGACACCTAGGAATGCTTTACATAGTATACATTTCCTTTAGAGAAGAGTGTGTAATAGCATTGGTATGTTTGCACATGATCTATCAAAGCATTCCCTAGACTGGGGACCGGGTGGGAGTCCCAGTTCAACACTTCTACAAGATCCCAGGATGGAGAAGAATTAACTTATACACAATATACAATGCCTGAAACAGACATTCTGGAATTCCCTGCACAGAGTCAAAAAACAGATTTGACAAAAGCCACCCTATGGCGTTTTGTTTTTCCAGCGTCCAGCATGTTCATTTGGTTGATGATCCATTTGTGCTGGTTAATTGCCTGCTGCAGACCCAGGCCCCACTTTTCTCCCCATCACTTAATGTACCTGGAAGTTTCATGCACCTCTCCTGCTGAGCCCCTCTGCCCTTTGCTGGGATGCTGTAGCTGAAACAGAGAGGGTCAGCTTGCAGGAGGAGGGTCCCCTTCCATTGTGTGCCCTTTCCTAAAGACAACTCAGGTTACTAACAAGGGGTTGGATCTGGGATCTAACTTCTAGGTAAGGAAAGCACCTCTTCTCATACTGGGGAGAATGCGCTCAAAGTTTGCCCTCATTCATCAGGGCCTTCCTTGGTGGTGCATTTTCAGAGGACTGGAGGAGCTGCTGTGGGAAAGAGGGAGTGAGGAAGCCCACTCCCATCACTGCAGTTGCTCTGGCATAAATCTGGATCCCACCCAAGGAGGGTGGGGGAGGAAGCTTATTCTGTAAGCCTCATGACAATTCTACATTGACTAAACCTAGATGTGGCTGTCTGATTCTTCCATCAGCCCCAGCCAGTGCAGCCAACAATGAAGGATGCTGGGAATCATCTTAACGGCCAGGTGTTTTCTACTCCTGCTGTAATGGACAGAGCCAAAGCTTTTGTTTGAACCACCTTAGTAGTGGCCTGAGCTCTGAAAGTGGCCCTGCTGACTTGAGGATGCGGGGGGGGGGGGGGCAATTTGCCAGTCCAGCAGGGGCCCTGAGCCAGAGAAAGTGGCAAGACCAAGAAATAACATCAGGTTCCTCCCTGGCTGCATCTTTCTGCCCCTGCTATTTTATAGTCTGACAAGGACTGTAGAATAGTAGTAAAATACTTTCAGGTTGACTTGTGGTGTCAGTTTGGCACTGCTGCATGGCCAGCGGGCGTGTTGAATGGTTTTGGGGAGAGAAGAATGGCTTTGGTGGTGGGAATGTGTCATGGGAAATGACGACAGTGGATGGATCCTATGGCTGGTCCATGCTTGTATCAGAAGCAGCAGCTGGGGTATGCGGCAGCATTCTGTGTGTGGCTGTGAGGTAAGTCAGGATCTCACCCTTTATTCCCATTTTTAGAGAGGTAGCAGAGGATATTCAATTGCAGCAGCAGCAGTAACAATGGGTCCCTTGTTTTTCTGCTGTTTTGTGCTTTGCATGTTTTTAACATCACCTTAAGGAAAAATTGGGTCTTTTTAAAGAGAAAAGGCTTCCAATAAATGCATGATATACATGGCTTTTTAAAATGGACTTGTTTTTAATACTAATGCTGTAAAGCAAAACTGGCTCTTGTTAAAGAAAAAGTCATCTAATAAAGTCACTAAATAACTATAGCGATTGTGGCTCTTTAATGACTAGCGCATTTGTTATGGGACTAAGTTTTTAACTGTGGATCACTGTCTGTTTCTTTGGGTGTTGTAGGGGTGTGTGTGTCTGTGTGTGTGTGTGGAGACTGGGGGCAGTTAGATGAGATTCACAATTGATTTCAGCAGGAGGCCTGGCTTACCCACCTTCTACTTTGGGGTAGTCACTCTGAGTGCCATTTTTTGATAGAAAGGCAGGGTACAAATCAGTTACATACTTGCATATCAGGAAGTAAATCAAATGGTGTATGAAGAGGAAGAAGGAAAGAGAAACACCATCCATTTGCTATGTCCTCCAAAAGGAAGCTGGAACATGGTAAGCTCTGCTCCAGGAATTTTCTATCACTGAGGGGATTCCCTAATGTGCTTAGCAAATGCTCATGCAATAGAGCAGTTACTGGACTCGCCCAGGATGCTCAGGAGACTGGACGGAATGGAAATGCAATGAGTTAGTACATGCTGACATGTCATCTAGCTGACCTCACAGTATCCCATGCTAGTGATAAAGGGTGCCCAACTGGGAATTCTAGCCCGTCGGGCTTCCCAAAGGCGCAGGAGAGTGTTAAGTACCTGTTGATCCTTCCTCACCAATTCCACATGTGTATGTGCCAACAGGGGCTTGGCCAGTCCATGTGTCTGCAGGAGGGTGTGGCCAGTGGTCATGATTCCACTCCCCTCTTACGTGTTCACTCGAAGGGATGGCACCCTATAATGCTATGGCTGTGCTGGGGATGGGACCAAATGAACATAAGATTCAGTTATGCCCCTGCTATTCCCCATCCCAAATCGGCTGAGACCATATGATAGCCTATGCTCAAAGGTATGGGTTGTGTTGATGCATGAGTTCTTGAAACCTGAGTTATCATGTTGTCTGAACCCAGCCGTGGTAAACCCATAGTGATGAACCTGCAGTCCACAGCCCAACAGCAAGACAGAGCTTGTCTTCAGGGGCTCTTCCTGGTTGAAAAATCCGGGCCAGTGAGTGCAGCCGCGTTCAGGTGACATGGTAAAGCATCGTTCGACAACCACGCAGACTCAGCCCATGTTCAGCCCTTGAGTGTGACTCCATTGTGCTCCCTGAGCTTTGATCCTGCCTTAAATTCCACTCATTTTTGCTAGTACTGGCTGTGGCACAGCAGAAGGAACCCCCTCCCTTGTCTCTCACACAAGGTCCATTGATATTTTGGTCCCTGAGGCATCACATTCCACAAGCTCCTCTTCCCCTTCCCAGTAATACCAGTCCTATGACATGACATGGCATGATTAACCATTGGCTGCTCGTATCCACAGCCAGCTACTTCACTCTACCCCAAAGCAGAGCTGGCTCTGAGTGGTCTTCTACCCTTGAAGCAATACTGCGTCTTGCTGGGTACGAGCCATGACTAGTCACATCATGTCAAATCCATTATATTAGGGTCTCTCTGCTTTCTGCTGGTGCAAGGGGATTTAGTAGCAATCCTATGCCCACCCTGCAGGCAACAGAGGGGGACTGGAGTGCACTCACCATCAGTTCAACAAGTGCAGTCCGAACAGACAAACCACAGAGGAAGCAAGACCCACCTGGCATCCTGTTAAGCGTCACCCAGAAGTGCTCGTCGGGGCTGTAGGTGTCCTTTGACCACTCAAGGAGGTCAATGGAACGCCGATCTTTGACCACAAAGCCTGCAAACTCCCTGGTAAGAGCAACGTAAGCTGAGCCAAAATAGATGGTCAGACCATGCGGAGGAGGAGATTTCTTCACATATGTCCACAGCATGAAAGTGAAGAGACTGTACACTTGTTCTCTATAGATGTATCGAGTTCTTCTGATAGCGTGAGTAGGAGGCAACACCCCTGGAGTGATGTTTTTCCCTTTGAATCCTTTCAGATGCCCAATTATTTCCTTGTTGGTTTTCAAGGGGAAATCCTGCCCACACGTGTTGAGGAGGTATTTCCAGGGTACTGCTGATTTCACAAGATCTTTCATGCAGTTCAGGTCAGCCTGGAGCCTGGATATCCCAGCATAGACCACTAACTCTGATTCCGAGGCAAGGAACGCATTTGGAAAGCAGCCCAGCAGTTTCTCCACCTTGTCCTTAAACGAGCGGGCAGCCTTCTTATCCACATGGACACAGTAAACATTTTGGGGCATATAAATAGCTCTGAAGAGCCTCTCGAAAGTATCGAAGTCTTTGTGCAATGCTACAGTGTAGGCTAAGGGAAAAGCAGCTTCTTCTGCAGACAGAGTTTGCGTGATGTAGTGACTTTGGCTCACGTACTCCGAGCAGTTCTGTGTCCCGAAGGATGTCTTTAGTGTGTTTGCTTGCACAAAACGTTTCTTTCCTTCAACAAGGACCTGGCAAGCTTCTGCTAAGGCAGAAGCTGCCAGTTCATTGTATCCCCTTGGAATGTTTTTTTCAGGTAATTTTGCAACATAAAATAGGATTAAACCCAAAATGCCAAAGATAAAAAGCAGCAGAATCCGGTGTAGTTGTAAATTCATGGCCGCACTGTTTTGTCTCATCCTAAATTCAAAACACAAAACACACAGCATCTTAGAGGGCTATTTTAAAAAAATAAATAGCGTTTCCCTAATATGAAATGGCTTGAAGAAATAAAGGCATCCATCTCCATCATCTTTATCTAGCATGGCCAATGGCTGGGGATGATGGAATTGCTGCCCAAAACCTTTGTCTAAATTAGCTTGGGGAAGGCTGATCTAGACCTTTGGTCTTCAGTTGGTGGGTCAGAGACACTACAGCTCAAACTGATAAGTCTGAGGCACATGGGCAATGCAACCTCAGTGCTTATCGATAGTAATCTTAATTAAGAAGTGGCTTACCAGACCCTTGCTTGAGTTAAATGTAGGCCCCACATCTGACAAGACTGAAGATTGCCAGTAGACCAACAACCACCAAAACTGGGGAGAGCAAGCGGTAGCCTTCAGAGATGGTTATCTTCCTGCTCATTAGCCATGCTAGCCAGAACTGAGAGGAGCTGGAGTCCAGCTACATGAGAAACATCAGTTTTGCTACTCTTGCACTAAAGAAGCTACCAATGCATATGGTACGGTTAGGATAGCACAGTCTTTCCCAACCTGATGGATTCCAGATGTTGTGATCCACAACTCCCATCAACCTCAGCCACCATGACCAATCTCAGCATGATGGGGATTGATGTCTGACACATGTGTTGAGCATGCAACGTTCAAGTAAATAAGGATACACAGAGGAATCCCAGGAATGCTTTAAGGTTGTTATTGCATTTCAAGTTTACTAATAGCCCACATTTTATTAATGTACCACAAGCTCTCAAATTAATCCCCCCACCACAAATACTTCATACAGTGAGGGCTAAAGAGACTCAAAAATACAAGAGAACTTAGTACCAAGTCTCTTCTCTTTGTTAAAACTATGGATGCTGTTTGCATGGTTGGAATACATTCGAAGGAACGAAAGGGTGATTCCAGGTGGAGTGTTCCACCCACCACCGCTCCAGAGGGATTTTTAGATGCCACCCTTTTTCAATTTTCCACACAAAGAAAGAGTATGAAAAACACCATGGGAAAGCAGTGGGGCTATAAATGGAAGGCATTGTCATTTGGACCCCAGCGTAAGGTTCTGTTAGTGAGTCAGTGACCACATGGAGAATTAAAACTTGATCTGGAACTGTCGGAAGCTGGGCAAGCTACTTCACATGAATGGTTTGTCAAGCTTCTGTAGTTGATCAATTTTCTTATATTTTCTCATGGAATTCAATTTCAAAGCAAGATGTGGTGTGTGTGTGGGGGGGGCAGTGTGCCAGTTTGAGCTCCTCATAGTTCAGACTCAGTTCATAGTTTAGACCGAGCGAACGCCATTCAATTCTGCCAGCCCAAATTCATCCATCTGCATTTACACACTTTGAAAGCTGCTGGAGAAGGTGAGACGGCATGTTTTGAAATGTGCCTGATCCTTTAGCTTGCTGTTACAAATGGAAAGTTTGAATCATAGTTGGCTGAAGAACCTTTCCTAGCTAAATGCCCCATGTGTTTCCAAGTCGAGCAGTTAAACGAAGCTTACTCACAGAATATTGACTCAAGAGTCAATGGCGGCACCAAGGAACAGCTTAGTTAAAACATCTTAATTGCAGCAGATTTTTAAACACCCCTTTTCAACAGAGACCTTTAAACATTTTTAATAAATCTTTTTGAGTCATGAAAGTTCTTACATGCCAAGAAACTAGTTGCATAATAACCTCTGATGATTAAAATTAAAGCCAACAATGCTCTCATATTAAGTTTCTCTGGTTCCTGTGAACGGAGTGTTAAGTTATCTAGTTCAAAAAATTGTACCTCAAGTAAGGTCATGCATACTCACACTACATAAATCTTGTCAGTCTTTAAGCTTTTTTTTTTTTTTTTGGAGGTGGGGGGTGGGGGAAGGTGCAGGCATTGGGAATCCTGTCGTTCTTTTTTTATTTCTGTAATACACTCTATGGGGCAGGAAAGTAGATACTATGCTGAACAAAATATATGACTTCACCACATTCTGAAATGTTTCCCAGAAAATGTAAATACTCCACATTTTAAAATACTGAAATTATGTAATTTGCATAGACTGGATGCAGAGAGAGGTCTGTATCAGAAAGGAAAAAATGGACAAGAGCCATTAAATGAACTAGATACGGGGCGGGGGGGGGGGAGACATTTCATGCAGTGGTTACCTTGATCAATGCTGAGCTGCTAATGCATAACTTCAGTCAGATGAGATGGGCATCCATTTTGAAAATAAATATAATATGGTTGCAGTGTTGTTGGGACTGCCTTTCACAGTTGGCTGGTAGAAGCTAATCGCTGGCTACCAACACCAGCCAGGCTTTCTGGATTCCTGTTCCCACGGACAGAAGGAAAGAATACTCACTATCAGCTCTGTTTCCTCACCTCCCACCCTTGGTCTAGGCAATCTTCAGCTCGACTCTCTCTAATCAGGTGTTCAATGCGACCATACCTGTATTTATAGTTAAATAAAGACTTGCCAAGTCATATTTGTATAATCAGGACTGGCCCAGGACAATGTGTTGCCCAGAGCAAAGGAAAATAAAGTCCCACCCCTTCCTTTCCTGGTACAGAAGCTGGCCTTTTAATTAGCAATGAGCTCTGACGGTTCCAAGCCGGCAATTGCGTGACACACACACAGCTCTGTCCTCCAAGAGGAGAATGGCTGGAGGACTGAGGAACAAAAGCTGGGAGGGCCAAGGCTATGCCTCCCTACCAGCTTTGGCAGTCTGAGGTGGTTCCCTCACTCTGCCCAATGGTAAGGCCAGCCCCTGATGCAATGTTCACAAACAGCTCTGCCCACATCCAGTCTGAAGACCAAATCTAGAAGCAAGTTCTAAGAGGTCTCTCAAGAACTCCTGCCTCTCTTGTTGCAAATCTACCAGCCAAGCGAATATTTTTTCCCCTCTTTTTCTTGTTTTGATTTCACTGATGCTTATAGCTGATTCTCCATCACACCTCCTCACCATGGTCTTGAGGCATCGTGTGTAACTATAGGCACTTGCCGATGCCCAGAATCCAAAGCTGCAATGAAAGACAGGGAAGGAAGGAAGATTTGCTGGGATCAGGTGATTGTACTAGAGGAGGTGGATGAATGGATGCAGGGTTGGATTTGGATGCATGTGACCCAGGCTTCTGCCTCAGGTTCCAGGCTTGGGAGGTACCAAACATTGCACATTAATTTGTAATATGGCATACACTTTTGTGGCACATAGGCCACTTCATCAGATCTGTTTGATACCATGGGTCATCAGCTACAAGAGCTTTTGCCAGAAAAAGCATGTTAGCTTTTAAGGAACCTGAATACATAGAAACATAGAAACAGCGCGAGCCAGAAGGGGCCTCCCTGGCCATCCAGTCTGACCTCCGGCACCAGCCGGCTCCGCTCACGACATGCCCACCATGTGCACGTCCAGCCTATCCTTGAACACCCACACCAATGGGGCCTCAACCACCTCCCGGGGAAGCCCATTCCACACCCTTGGGGTCCTAACGGTCAGGAAATGCTTCCTGGCATCCAAATGGAACCTTGGCTCCCAGAGCTTTGCTCCGTTGGAGGGCGTCCTGCTTTTACTCTGCTTTTGCGGCCATAAACTGATAAAGCAAACCCCTCTGGAAACTTATAATATGACAGGGATACATCAAATACACCAACCATGCAGCAAAGTCTTGAAAAGAGCAACAGATGTGTGGGCATGTCTTTAAAGGTGGACCCCTTTAGTGGGATACCAAACAACTTCCCTGCCTGGGCAAAAGTTTGCTTTAGGGCAACCTGTACCAACCTGGTGCCTTTCAGATGGGTTGGACTAAAATTCCCATCACCCAGGAGGTCACAGTGACTGTGGATGATAGGACTGTAGTTCAAATCAGCCAGAGGGCACCAGATTGGCAAAGGGCTGGGAATATGCCAGAATGGCGGGGAAAGGGATACGCGACAGGGCTGGAGGTGAGAAAGATGGCAGAAGTAACTCACCATCAGAGGAGCGAGCCTGAAAGGCGACTTGCTCAGCCTAGTTCCTGTCAACAGTTTGGTGGAATTGCTCATTGGCACAGGGGTAGAGTCGAACGGAGGCGAGGGGAGAGAACATGTAGAGGAGGAGGAGAAAACAGAGCAGGGTAGAAGAGGTGGAAGAATCCCAAAATGGGACAGCCCAGCAGACCCTGCCGGGGGCTGGGAGGTGGCTTTCCCCCCCCATGTTTGTGATTGGTTTGTTTTCCAGTGCAAAGGTGCTCAGACTCTGTTGAGTCTCTGCAATGGGGAAATTGAAATGAATAATCTGTGGAGAAGAGCGTGGACACACAGCATGTGGATGCCGGAGGCAGAGAAGGGCGTTGGCATCCTTGGAATCCCCTCAGGAGAGTAGAGTGGCCATCATCGATACACAGGGGACTGGAGCAGAGGTGAAATTACTTAGGGGCACCAGCAACTGGTTAAAAATACTACTTTTTCCTGTCTAAATATAAATAGACTTGCATCTGAAGAATTTTAACCCTAATGTCTTTAAAAAATGAAGAGAGTCCCACAATTCCTAGCAGGATTCTTTGCAGAAGATTTCTGGTTTTGTTTCAACAGACTTGTACCCTAAGGGATACCAACAGTCCTGCAGAACTCCGGGGAGAGCTTTCATTTGTTAAGCAGATGGTTTTACAGGAACTGCCACATTTTAAGAAGTGTCTTCACATTTCTGAAATAATTCCACATCCAGTTTAATGTGGATAGACAGTGGGGGACAAACGAAACAGACCAGGGGGCCACATGTAGCCTGTAGGTCTTGTTGCTAACTCTTGCCATACACGCTTACCTGGAAGTAAATTCCACTTAATTGAATGGAGCTTGCTGCTGAGTAGACACACTTAACCTTGTGTTGTACGACTACAGTCCTTTGCAAAGGGAAAATTGATGAAGTCATAATTTATGTGAGAAGCATATACTTCTTTAAATATACACCACCTAGTGGATCAATGCC